AGGGAATGGGGCAGGGGCTGGGCTGCCCAGCCAAGCAGGGTGGGGTGGGGCAGAACCACGGCCAGCTCACCTGGAAGGTACAGGGAGGTAGAAAGGGGGGCAGTTCCTTACCACTGCGTGAACCCCAAGGCAGGCATAGGCAGTGTTCCCTCTAAACTGTGCAGCATGCATGGCCACGCAGGTGCACTCATGCCACATTGCTAGGCGCGCCTGTGTGGCCATGCAGCTCAGAGGGAATGCTGGGCACAGGAGGCATGTGCCCCCAGGATTAGCGAGCGGGGCGAGGGTAGGCTGCCTGCTGTGAGCTCAGGGCCAGAGAGTGCACCAGCCTTTTCCCAACAAGGGGGCTGGACTGGGTGGCAGCACTGAGATGGAAGGGCTACAGCCACTCCAAAATTGCCCTTAACCCCCACTCCCAACACCGCCACTACCCACCCCACCCCAAGCACAGCCCCAGCCCAGCCTCCACCAGGAAGAGGCCCGAATAGCCCCTGGTCCTGAGTCCTCAGAAGGCAGGCTGCCCTCACCCTGCACACAAGTCTGGGGGGGCACAAGCCCCTTGTGCCTCCCCCAGGTGTCTACACAGTGGTGGGTAGCCACCTCTCCTCCCCTCCCCCAGTTAAACCATCTGCAGCTCCACCCCGTGTCCCGCCCCAGCCCCACTCCATCCCTCACAGTGGGGGCCTCGATCTGCTCCCCCCATGCCCCTTTCTTCCCCCCCAGACTTACTGGTCGGACGCTACTCTCCAAGCTGCCAGGCTGAATATCAGCTATCAGATCAGTATCAGCCAGCATGGCTGGTTAATAATAGGCCATCATTATTGGCCAAAATCTTTACTGGTGCACCCCTAGCAATATTATCGTTGTTGAAAAATCAGCAACCCACAGCAATGGCTGGGTCATCAGCAACAGATTACTGTTCTAAAAATGTTCCCAACCTCTGCTCTGAAGAGTACATTATACAAAAAGCATTTTTTATTTTCCCTGATATGAAGACACTGTCACACTTTTAGGAAAATAAACCTGGCAGGAATGGAATGGCATGGATACAAAAACAGCACAAGAAAATCCCATCTAACAACTGCCTTTATGCATGATCCATTGGTTAATTTATACTTTCTTTGCTATCTCCCTCCTAATCTGATTTGCAAAGGACTGTTTTAAACAAATTTCCCACTGAAAAACAGTGAGTTAACATCATGAAAGCAACTTCAACTTAAAGCTGTTAAAGCTTTTGCTTTTCCTGCTAATCAACAGCACAGCTCAAAAATGCATTCTCTGGAGGGGCACACACTTCAGTAATATGTCTTAAAAATAAAATGAACACTTAATACTGTATTAACAGTATTTCTATCCAAGCTTTTGCACCCTAATTCAAAAATTTCCCATGCCTGATCATTTATTTTATGCTTTAATTTATTCTTAGTCGACAAACAGAATTAAATGTCAGACACAAAACACGTTCAACAAAGGAATTTAATCCCTGATTTACCAAAAGTAATGCATGTGATTGCCTACTTACTCAGATACCTGCTTTTTTCTTTTCTTCCCTTTCCGTTTTTTCTTTCTTTTTTTTTGTACTGGGGTGAGGGGATCTTCTTTTGAAAATAACAAGATGAAAGAAGCTAAAGGCTAATCACTCCAGACTAGACACACTGTTGTATACTCACACTATGTGAGCCAGAAAACAAAATGTAAATTTATGAAATCCAACTGTTGGATTATACCACTTCTCAGGAAACTAATTTGGTGTGTTTTATTATTTTAAAAGTATCATTTTTAAAATTGATATGAACAAAAACAGTAACAAAAGCACTTTTTGTGGGCGTAAACTACTTTAGAGCACACAAGTAACTTATGCCAGTGCATCATGGCTTACAGCCAACTAATAGTCCTATATGGAAACGTGGCCCAAGTTCATGAACTTAAATATATTACTGATAAAAAAAGATGGAAAAACTAATCACAGCAATCAGAATTTAATATAGGTGTCATTTCGTGTGACAAGGAAACAATTCCAGAGACTTCTAAAGGGATGCCCAAAATATAAGTGTTATGATCCCAAAAAGCAGTGGGGTAGGGTATAAGTGACTAATATCCTTGTACAGGATTATAGGCCAAATTTCCAATTTGGCGGGAGGGAGGAGGGCGGCAGAGGCACTGAAGGGAGGGATCAGGCTGCATGGGGGGAGACAAATGATGGGAGGACGTGGGAAGGGAGGAAGCTGCTTCTCCTTTTCCCCCTGCTGCTTTTCCTGCTGCAGGGGTGAGCGGGGACAAATTTAAGACAACCTAATTTAAGATAACTAGATTCTATATATAGAAAGTTAGAACAAATTTATAAATTTTCCATATACGGAATCTAAATTATCAGGGGCGGGTCATTTTAAATTTTAAGTCATCTTGGCTCTGGGTAAATATGGTAATAGCTACAAATTCTTCTGTTACTAAACAGTTTATTTGGCTTTTTTATTTTAGGAGGCATACCTAGTTTGTATCAAGTAATGCAGAGACCATTAGAACAACACAAGATTATGTTGCATGATTATTGGAGGCAGACAACAAGACCTTTGGGAAAAGGACCATTTCTTTTCTATATTTGTACAACATGAAATGCAACAGGGTTCCAAATGGCAATCCATTGCGGCACTACTCTAATACTGATATTTAAATAAATGATTACTATGTTCCAAGGCTGAGATGGCTCCCCTGCATCAAAACCACAAGCCTAAAATGTTTTAAAGAAGTAGACTAAACAAGAATGCAATGAAAGAATGTGACAGAAGGTGGCAATCCAAAATGTAACTGGGCCATTATTTTCTCATTTCATATTTTTCAAATAAGCACACACATTACACAGTAGCACTGAAGCACTGAGAAGAACAGGCCTCTGAAGAGATTGCTGCTGACCAGCAATGACTCAGGTGAGGTCCCATTCTGCCCTCAAAGCCATGTCATCTCACTTAATGCAACAACATGTAAATTGTGTCCACTTCCTTTCAGTGATTCCAGTTTTGTTTTACCAGACAATTTATCAGCTATTTTCTAAGCAAAACAAGAACACCTTTCCATTCCCTTATTTCCATATACCCCGGGAGCAAAGCCAGCACTTTGTTTTCAATTGAATTTGTTGCTGCAGTGCAAATAGGTGAAATGTACACTCTAAACCTGTATGTTAAAACTTTTAATTCTTTAACCCAACACTGGAGAACTGGCAACACACAGGCTGCATGCAGCCTGTAATGGGTTTTAGTTTGCAGCACCTGAGCTCCTGCCTGGCCACAACTCTTCAGTTCACCCTCCCTATGCTGGCTTCAGGTTTTCTACACCGCAGGGGGTAGTGTGGCACAATACAGCACAGCACAGGATGGTCAGGGTGAGGCATGGCACTGCGCAGCAATGGGGCATCTGCATGAGCATGTGATGCAGAACCTGCAGGAGGAGCATCCACACAAAGGTCGTTGCAGTGGCATAGGGAAAAAGACACACAGTGCAATGTGGTGTGGTGCATCCATGAGCCTGTAGCCCAGAGGCCCACTGGATAGCCCTGCCTTAATCTATTCGGAGACTGTGGATGTGGAACACAGTTAATGAGTGGTCCTCTTGCAGTGCCACTTGGTTACCCTCAATGGCAATGCCAGCAATAAAACTCAAAATGTTTAAAAAAGAGAAGCTAGTAAATAACATTTACTGGTAACTTAAGCCTACTTTTTTCTAATATGAACCTTTGTGGATAAGGTTTTTCAAAGTCTAAGTATGACCTTCCTGAGTTTATCTTTAACAATGCTTCTACTGTATTGTAGAAAATTACTTACTTTTGGTACATCGACAGCCACCTCCCTCATGGCGCTGGGCCTGACATCATTCATCCCCTGCAGGAAGTCATTGAAAGTAATCATCACTGACCCAGCCACCTCACTGTCTAATAGGTTAGTTTGCTTTCCCAGTGCTCTCCGCAAGGCATATAAACCTATTAAAAAAAAAAATCAAACATACATAGACTTCATCCTGTTTCCCACAAAGACAATATACACACACATACGCACAGACTAAAGCACTGGAAAGGAAGTAAGCTTCAAAAAGAGCACCATAACATTAGGCTCTAACTAGGTCCAGGAACACAATGGATTTTTCCAATGAAAGAGAAGGGGAAAGAGGAACTTATGGTTACCTGTATACTAGATTTGGTCCCAAGGATGGATAAAAATAGCCATGGTGCCGACAAAAAATAGAACAAAAAGAGCTTGGATAATTTTTGAAGTCTCTTTTTAAGAGAAAAAAATACAAATGTCTAACTTATATATAGGAATAATCAGTTTATTCAAGATGGGCTACCTCATCTGTTACCCTATCAGTATAGGCTTGCATCCTACTGGTTTATTTTCTAGTATTCCAAAATGATTTAAGTGATGAAATTTCTGCTCTTTTCATTGGGACACAATTCACGGCTAGGAGTTTTTTTCATTGTGTGCTAAATAAAACTTTCCCCATATTTTTTATATACCTTAAATAACTCTGCATATGTTTTTTTTATCTTTTCAAAGTCCACATCTTACAGACACTTAACAGTCATAACTCCCTTTCTCCTCTGTTTACTCAAATCATATGAAATGCACACAGTCTTTCCATACAAATAAATACCTGAGAAGTTTTATCTTTTCCCTCTCTGGGTATGGCGGTACCCAGAACTAAACTCATGGGTACTGAGCTATTAAGTGATATCTCACCAATTCCACAGAGAAAGGGACTGCACTAAAGCCTTGTTTGGGGAGTGAGAACTCAGAGTATGCTATGCAAAAGCCCCAGAGATTTTCCTGCATTTAATTTGTCTTTCAAGATTTGTCTATCGATTTGTTTTCTTCCTTTGTTTATTTCCACTACCCTCGTATTTAAAAAACATTATAATAATGAAAAAGACTGACTTTTGTAGGGCAAAATTTAACCTATTTTGCTCTACAAAACATAAAGGTAGTTACTATGGTATCATTACCGATGAGCCACCAAAAGACATATATAGAATAATTTTAACAAGTTAATTTGACTGGTTAATCAACCCGATTCATTTTAACAAAACAAAATATGTCAGTCTATGCTAAAGAAAAATAATAAAGACAAGGGATAAGCTATTTTTAAATAAATCAGAAGATTCTTCTTTCCACTGAGGCACTTACAAACTTTGACACAGAAAATCTGGGACAACTACAGGAATCCTACATTTCCTACAATACATAAAATGTGTGAAGAGATATATCTCCCCTGTGTATCAGTACAGCTGGAGAGTCTCCTTACACCATCAATTACTACAGAAGCATGAGCACCTGCACTCAATGCACAGGATCTTTAATACAATAAAAAGAAAATGTCTGTAATTCAGGTTTCCCCCAGTGTAAAACATTCAGAAACAACAGGATATATAAATAAAAACATTTCTTTATACCAAATGGGACACTGCTAGTCACAGGAGAAGTGAAAAATTTAACTCTCTTGAACACCGTGGTTCTTTCCTATTCCCCCCAGCAAGTCATTTACAAAAAAAAAAAAAAAGATAGCTTCAACAACAGGACAGCAATTCAATCCACATTTTGCCTTAGGTTAAAGGTATTTATGAAGTTAATTCATAAGGCATGCACAATTTAAAATAAAAGATTACATATTTACTAGGGAAGTTATGTCTTTGGGGAAATCAAATAAATGATAAAGATCTCTGCTCTTCAATTTCAAACATCTTTCTATCAGGTACAAATTTAACCAAAAGTCTATTTGATGATTTTTTCATCTATCATGTCTACCTTTTTATTTGCAAAAATAAAACGTGTCTTCTTTTTCCTTTATGAAAATATAACCTTAAAAAGGGCAAATAGGAACATGGGTCTTATGTACTCTTGCTACCAGTGCTAGTAAGCATATCTGAGTGAAGTTTCATTGATCAGTAGTGGGTTTGAAATGCAGCAGCTATGATCCAGAACAGGGATAAAAAGGTCACGGCTCTCCAAACAAAGACTGAATTCATTAAAGCATGTGTGAGCACACACCATTACACAGGTCAGCATTTAATTGAAACAATGTTTTACATTAAAACAAATATAAAAAACAGACTGAAAACAAGAGCATGATTCTTCCTGTTTCCTCCTGTTATCATAATCTTTCTTTCCTGCTCTCCACATTGACCCCTGACAAAAAAGTCTCATTAAACTACAGAAAGATACAGCCAAAAAGGGCTGCCAGGGGGAGACACACACCCCCGCCTCCCCTTTAAGCCACAGAAAGGTCTATTTAATGTGAAGATGTCTCAAGTACATGCTGCTTGAACCTTTTTTTGATGGATGGGGTAATGGCAAGGTGGGGGGGAAACACACACACACAACAGTGACCATAAGCTTATTTTTGTGGAAGCATAAAGTTATGAACGTTTAATTCAGATGTACTATATATTGCGTCCCAGAAAATACCAAACATTTGGTCTTTGCAGATGAGCTTCTTAGGATAGGATGTCTCTGGCTTGGTTTGAACCAGATAGTGTTTATCCTCTGTTGTAAACTGGTTCTACTTACGCATTTATGCACAAATTTTGCACACTCATTTTCAGGCATGACAGATCTGAAATGTATTAATGTGCAGAGACATTCTATTATCTTCATTAAATAGGTATCTATACCTTTAGCCTCTCTCATACAATAATAGCCTCTACTCAAATGAGAAGTCTTAGCAAATACATTAAAAAACAAACAAATAGTTTTTCCACATAGTTAATGAAATTATCTGTGTAAGTAAGGACTCCTTGTTCTGAGTTTTGGGTTGCAGGATTTGTTCCTATATACAGCAGAAACTTTAACCAGGAGGACAAAGTATTTAAATATACTAGAGCTCTGCTTCCCTAACAAGGCATAAATGGAAACTTCTGAAATAAAACCAAAAGAAGCAAACATAGGTCTATTATGCATCATCACAAACCATGGAAAATAAACAGTTTGTTCTGCTCTCCAGCACTGTGTGTTATACCTCACAAATTCATCCTGTCTGTCTAGGACAGAGGAAGCAAAGTGGACAGAGGAAGCAAGTGAGGAGAACAATTTGTCATGGTACAGCTGCTTCTCTTCTGTCGCATATTAAAAGCGAGTACACAATATTATTTCCCTTTAATTTATTCTTGTTCGTAGCTGTGGTTAGGTGTTAGCACATTATGATAATATATGGCTAAGTGTAAGAACACTACTATGTAGCTATATTTTGTCAGATTCTAGGCATAGTTACACTCCAACACAAATAATAAAAGGCGTCTAGAGAATGAATATCCAACATGTCCATTTTAGGTTTGATAGATTGAGAATACACAGAAGATGTAGAGATGTTATCATTGTGATTAACTGTATTTATCATGTTTAACTGCCTCATGTTCATTCTTTCCATTAATCCATCCGCCCCACAATTATTCTAATACTCAAAATGTGTGAATGATGTAAAATAAAATGGCAGTTGTTTGAACCCAACTTGCATGCTTCTTCTTTCTTGGCTAATTTGCCTCCAAAATTACAACAGCCCAAACTGTTACACATGGACCATTCTCTCTCACATCAGAGATGGGTTTCAGATCAAATACCTTCTTACCCTGCAGGGCTGGAAATGGAAGATTTATACCATCCGAGTGAAGCATGGGGGAAAAACATGTTTGGCTTTCTAAAGCCAACAGATGGAGTACTTGCTTCTATTTATGCCTTGCATCTGGGAAGGTCCCTAGATATCGTTCATTATTCTTAAATTAAATTTTCACTCCCTTAGTGTGTATTTAAGTTAGACAAGGCACCTGGCTGAACAGGCAGAAGGCTACAACAAAACAGTTCCAGTGTTTTACTAAACTTGCTAAATATTTCTAAAACAAACAGCTTTTCTACTACCTATACGATAACAGAGATTTGAATCAAGGTGACATGAGTAACTGAAAAGTGACAATCATGCACTGTACAGTATACACATCACATATCTAAATACACAACACACTTTCAACTACCAAATACCATAAATGAGAAAAAGATACGATGGAAGTAACCAGTTTATTTCAAATATGACCCCTTCTGTTCAGCCATGTTGACAAATCTCCTACTTCTAAGGGGGAATCTCCTATCCGATTCACATCCCAGCTCAATTCCTGTTCACATAACTTTCCCATAATAACTAGGTGCTGCCTATATATA